TAGGATTAGATTGATCAGACCGAACGTAAGTCACTCATAGAACCACTCATAAAACTGTACTTAGATTTTTAGTAAACATTATGTAGGATTTCGACGTTTTCATACTATCTAAATAGTGCTTGTAGATTCATACTTGAGACGTTTTCCAATTTCTCAATCAATAGAGTCATAAGTTAATTTTCTCGAAAAACCAAAAAGAATTACATTATTAGTAACCATAGCAGAAGACTGTGCGCGCTAAGCTGCAACTTGCTGTATCGCTGTTTATCTAAAAATTACCAGAGCACCAAAAACAGCTCCATCTTTGCTTTACTGCAGCACTATTTTCGGTGCCGAGTTTAATAGCACTATAGCCGACATAACAGAAAGTTGTGTCCGGTGCTTCTACAAGATAAATAAATAGATATTATTACCTCTTTCTTTTGTGTACTTTCTATAAATCTTAAATTGAAAGTCATATGAATTCACAAAAATCTTAATAGTGCATAGTACGAACACAATAATATAATAACATCATCCATATATTTTTCCAAAGGTGGTTTGTTCTCACTACAAATTTGATTTCTTCTAGCAAAACTGTTGTCCTACCCAAGAATATTGAACAATTTTAAGAGCAGTTCTACCAAAGGGTAGGCATTTCTCAAATGTCCTTTATATGATAGATAAATACTGTTACGTCAGGTTAGCATAGATTAGGTTGTACCGACGATTCAAAAAAATTTACTATTTCCTATTGACCCATTGTTATGCATTGACGGTATCCTAATCCGTGTTTCTGAAAATGAGATTCAATCAGTCTGTCTACTCCTTACTTGTCCCTACCTTATACAATAATTTTATTTATTATTTGTTGGTACAAAGAAGTCTCAGGATATTATTCGATAGAAAACAGTACATTCTTTTAAGATTTAGTGCTTCAAATCCATGAAAGTATCCACACATACTTATAAGCTAATAGTTTTTTAAGGAACTACATATGTGTATGCCTTTATTTACTAACTTTCTTCATCTTTTGAGTATTGAAAACTCAGAGTTAGTTTAAATAAATACTAACTAACAGAAATAAGTTAAAAATATTTCTCACTTTATCATAGAAGTATGTACATATAATTATATGGCATATATAAATCACTTCTTGAGGTAACAGCATAAGCTTTATAAATATTGTAAGACTTCTAAAAGTATGTTTACCCTTTCAACATTAAATAATTAAAACATTCCATAACTCTCTCTGTTTAAGGGAAAAATAAGGTATTCCTTAAGGATTACACTGTCAAATAAGTAAACAGTGTCTTAAAAAAATTCTATTCTTTCAAATTTTAATAAAGTTTCTAATCACCCAATGGGTATTTATATATTTTTTAATAAAATTTTATTAAATCTCTTTCATATGCTATATAAAAGTAATTACCATAGAAATCAAGCATATTTTTATATGTACAATATAGAAGAATAAATGTCCGATTCAAATGAGCGGGTTGAAGAGATTGCGAGAATTCAGCTATTCTGTGAGTAAATCAAACGCATTTCAAATTTATAACTTAAGTGAAAAAGGATAATAAATATCACAAATTAAATGATTGACATTAAAAAGGATGAAAGTATAATAAAATAAAATTATCCCTCGGGGCCACGGAAATGATTCAATTTATAAAATTGAATCATACACACAAACGCAACAAACCTCTTCTTCAGATACGCTTTCAGATACGGTAAGCACGCAAAATTGTAATTTAATTTCTTATCATTTAGAATAAAAAATGAAATGAAATAAAAAATTAAACCTGAAAAGGAACAAAAAATAATTTAACAATATTAAAAAACGAAATACTGCATAAATCGCCTTGAGCCCGTTAAATGCACTGAAAAATAAAAGGAATAAATTATTTATTATTTAACGTCAAAAGGATTATTTTCACAATTGAATTTTTATACGCAGGCTTGTACGTCGTGAGATACTTTATGCGTAACTACCTGCCTTCCGCTTCGCTACATACAACCAACCATCCAACCAACCACTTAGCACATTCTCCGTATCTTTTGAGCCACATTGAAGTAGTTACATTTTATTTGTGTTAAATTTTATAACCGATTTTTACGATGCATTTTATGGTTTTAGTGCCTTAAAAAATTCGATATGTGCTCTTCACACAGCATCCGCATCCTGTACATCAAAAAGAACCATGACCAATTTGAATTAGATACAATAATTGAATATGAAGTGATTAACAAGTTTTATTGCCAGCCACACTTATAGCATTTTAAACAACATTTCCCCAAATCCTCACAAGATCTGTAAAATAAATCACATTGACCGAATTATATATCAATAATATCAATCAATTATCAATAATAATTTTTACTATAAGATTATACAAAGAATTCTTAGAGATAATGACGAATTGATTGTGTGGTCTGATTTTATTTAAAATACGAGATTAAACTGACACCTATACATAAATACCAGATGTTTTAAATAAAATAGCAATGCTGACCTACGAATGTCAATAGGCCTACGTCTATTGTCTCGCAGAAATAAATATGCTTGCATAGGAACACAAAGAAGTGTTCTGTCAAGATATTATTAAATAATCCGTTATATATGGGTAAAAAAAAACCCATCACTTCTATCGTGTGCAGTACTACTCTCATATCATCGTTTATAAGTTTAATATAACGTACACAAATCTAAGCTCAATTAATCTATGATTCCGTCGCACAAATTCAACTAGGTTCCTGAACCTTGGTATATGTTGGACGCAAAATCTTAATCTTCCTTATCGTCCCCCTTTTCATTGTTAAATCTTTAATATTAAGCGCGATTGAATGTACTTCGTCGATTTTCTTGGTATATGTTGGACGCAAAATCTTAATCTTCCTCATCCTCCCCCTTCTCATTGTTGAATCTTTAATATTAAGCGCGATGGGATGTACTTCATCGATTTTCTTTCCTTATTCATTCTTAAAGGATTCTCAATAAAATTTTTTTCCATGTAAAATATATATTTCATTTGGATGACCGTTAAACCATGTGACGTCTTTAATCTGCTACAGTTTTACTTGTTTTTAACATTCCTTACGAGAAAACTTACCTACATTTTACTGGATAAAACAACTTTCCTTATATTTATAATTTATACTTTGCTTAAGATTGAAACTTGTTTAAAGTTTTAATTTTTAGTTGTTAAAATTTTTAAAAACTTAAGGGGAAAGTACTTGATTAAGCGAACTGTACTGTACCAAACCGTAAAGATCGACATGTTTTTCCGGTTCAGTTTAGGTTTTTGCTCTAACAAAAGTGTCGGTTTTTACGGTTTTTGGTTTAGGGTTCA